CCAATCTTTTCAGCACATACCTTCTTCCTTAAGTCATATATCAAAATAAGATTTATTTAATCTGAGACAAAAAACATTCTAACTATAATGAGCAGTCTTTAAATCTTTGTATAATTATAGTATGTTTGCCAGGGTTTTATTATCATACCAGCAGAATATCATACAATCCCATTCCTAATTATTTGCATATTGCAAAAAAAACATTTGGTTTGTGTAATGCAAAGTTTTCGGAATAATAAAATGGAATTTGGAAGGAGGAAATAAATGCATGAAGCGGGCGTCACAGATCATGAAGAAGGGATGAGTGGCAGATCATTGTTCTCAGCAAGCAGCCAAGTGTATGTGTCTCACAAATCACAGAGCTTGACAAAAAAAAAAGGAGAAAAAGAAGAGCAAAGACCCCCTCACGGATGCCACAACCAGCTCTCATCAACGCTGACACAATACCACATCTGCAAAAACAGCCTCCGACCCGGGGAAGCTCATCTTGTTCTGGGCACTCAACTTTACACACTTCTAGGCCTTAAACCAAAAGCACTTCACCTCTTGCTGCTACAGTTCACACCAACGACTTAAAGACGTCTTTACAGCATCCAAAACAAACAGAGGAGGAGGAGGAGCGGCGGTAACAAGCAGGCGCGACCTGTCCTGTTTAATGATAAAGTGTTTGAAGAAAAAAAAAATTTAATATATAATTTAACATCCCAAAAAGTTAAGGCTTTAAAATCAAACTTTTCTTATAGTGTCATAATATTCCTGCTATACAAAGTTACTTTTAACGAGACACACTACGCAAGCAGGCCAGCACCCCCTACCATGTATCTGCATACGAATTGGATCTGTTTGTTCTCTAAAGGATTTGAAAATCTGTTGTGAATTGGTTTGATAAAAACAAGCTGAGTTTAACTTTTGCTGCCCACTGCCAGTCAGCTGGTTTAAAAAAAGCCTATGGTTCTCTTTGCAACAAATTAAGGTGCTTTTTTTCAGGATTAAAACACAAAGACCTCTAAGGAAACCGAGTGGACCATCAATCACTGACTAAGTAGAAACTAATTAACTTCAAAGAGAAGACCAACAAAAAAGCATTTTTGTCAGACATTCTGCACAATGAGCATCTACTTTTAAATGAAGCAGGAGCTCTTATACATCATAGCATGAATAATTATTATAGATGACATTTTGAAAGTAGTAATAACATATCGTTTTAGTTGCACTTTGTTTTATAAAAGCTAATTAGGTGTTGGCTTTAAATGTTTGTGTTAATTTACTGGAGGTTAGTGTAAGAATGTAGTCCATTTCTAGTTATAATAATTAAATTTTAAGTTTTTCTGCCTCACATTAAGTTGGAGAAAAGACAGATCTCTCATTCTTATCAGGAGGAGAATAAATGTGCTTATTCCAGGTGATTGCAGAAGAGAGAGCAACTTTAGATGAATGAATTTGCAACAGAATGCTTGAGCAAGCATGCATTTTTCCAGCGTGTGACCAGCAGTTTGCAAAGCCAAAAGCACATTAAAATTCCCCCATGTGTGTAATATACATATCTGAAATTGCAGTTTTGCTATCTTGAGTCTCATACCCTCTTCATCCCTACGATTTCCTTATCCAAAGACATCACGCGGTTTGAAAGGTGCCTTTAGCTGGCTCCTTGAAACAGGGAGCCTGGGTCCCGCTCAGGGACAATGATAGTTGGGTTGGAGGGAGGGAGGGTGGGAGGGAGTGGAGTGGAGGGAACACATAGCATATTAAATCCTGCTGGCGGAGCTGACTCGTCCACGCAGAGAGAGCCAGGGAGTCAGATCTGAGGCATGCCCTGAAGGGATGGCTGGGCCTGGGGATTAGGGGGGCCAAGAAGGAGCTCCCCGTGCGCAAGAAGACCCCTTCCCGTCTCAGCTCGTACGCAAATACGTCCAGACATTTTGACGCTCCCCAGGTTTGCAGCCTCGACCCAAGTTTCCTCACACACTCAGTTTCATCGTCTTTTTTTTTTTTTGCCCCCTCAATCAGTACCTTTGTGTGACTCGCCCTCATTCACTCCCCTCTGTGTCTGTTTCATTTGATGTCAGCATATCAAAGTACCAAATCATCAAAGTGGGGGATATCTTCTGGGGGACATCAAATCAACTACAGTAGTTGTTGTATGCACAGAAAGAGAGCGCCAGGGGTTTATCAAAAAACGTCGTAGAATATTACGGCACATTTTTCAACTTATCAAATGGTTCCTCCATAATTTTACTCTGAACATTTGAACTCATAAAACTAGAGAAGAATCACAGTTTTCTTTTAGGTGTGTTTTATTTTATTTTATTTTTTGTTGCTTAACAGGGGTGTTTGTCCTTTCAAAGTCAACAGCAAAAGGAAATGATTATAACCTGATTCCTGTTTGACAATCACAGCATCATTTTCCTCATTTCTACCTTAAATTTGTGGATGACAAAAAACATGCAGAACTATTTTGTAGAAGTCATTATAGGCTTTCAATGATGTGTTTTATTAGTTTAGACGCATTTGATCATTTAGAGGTGAAAAAAAACAAAAAAACTATCAGAGCAGTTAAAAGGAAAACCGGCTTATTGGAATGTTTCCCCTTAAATGAAACTTTTAAGGAGAAACTTGTAGATAAATTTCTATACCATACAAGACGACACACACACACTAAATCCTGCTCCGTTCTCGTTATCTTCAGGACAATCAACTTCCCTCTCGTTAGCCCCGTTTTAACAAAAACTATTCGCCTCCTCTTTGAGAGCCTCAGGTCGCAGAATTAACACGACAAGACAGCTCATTAGTGCTCCATGAATACCAACCTGATAACAGGTATTCTTTCTGGGGTGTGTTGTGGAAAAAGACCCGAGGATGCAGGTTTGCCCCTTCAGCTGTGACGGCCGGGGTGTTCGTGTAAATAAAAAAAAAAGGAGAGGGGGCATTTCTCAGAAGCTAATTGCATGTCATCCCCTTGCATTAACATGACAGCCTCTATTCTGTCAGGTCACAGGTGGCCGATGGAGCTGATGACACTGGAAATATGCATAATGTTGGAGAACAAAAAGCTTATAGGTAAGATTAAATAATAAAATTAATAAAAAGGAGGTGGGGGGGGGTCAAACAGAGTGGCTGATTCTTGCAGAGGAAATGTTATCTGCAAGGAAACGCATCAAATTCCATAAGATCAGCATCCTTAGACATTGCTATATTTCACATTAGGTGAAAAAAGGGCCTTTTAATTAACATCCTCTATTTTATAGAGATGTGTAACCCCAAAATATTATTGTCATTATATGAACTTAACCTCTGTTTTAATTAATAAATATATATATATATATATATATATATATATATATATATATATATATATATATATATGTGATATTACAATTGCAATAATAATCATATATAGAAAACATTTTGAGAAGTGTCGACTCTACCCTTTTTACCTTTAAAAAATGAAACAAAAAAAGCTACAAATAATTAATTGGGCATGGAAAGTTTAAATTCAAATTTCAACTATTTTTACCTAATTTCTTACTATGACTGATTTAAAAAAGCCTTTAAAATCAACAAATTATTCTATTACTTTAATTTCCAAATTCTTCCAATCTTTATAAACTATGTGCTACACACAGAACTTGTGTATCCAAATAAAAAAAATTATAAAATACTGATTTGTTTAGACGCTGCTCCATCTAAAGGCAGCTGAAACCTTTGTTAATAATTTGCCATTTGTCAAAAGGAAGAGGGGGAAAAAAAATTGAAAGGAGGAGGATTTGAGCCGCACCGCATGGCTGAGCACCTCGGACCCTCATCGTTTGTATGAAACCCGAGAGCAGACAGGCAGATAAAATGTGGAACAGCTGGCGAAGGACAGGAGGGAAAGTTTTAAACAAATATCTGCACATGTGGAGGACTCCCAAACAAGTTTTGCATCCTGCAACCCTATAATTCTCTTTATTCCATATTCTCTTTCAATTTAAATTTGAATTCTATGAGGATTACAAAATTACACTCATGAGTATATAAGAGGGGATTTTGTAAATGTATGGTATTTTTGTTAGGGGCCCTGGATAAGTGACCCCTGCGGGGCCACAGAGACCCCTCCTCCCCTGTGGTGTGCTTAAATTTCTCTAAGCCTACATGCTTATGTGAAGTGTCCCTAAACCTGTTTTTGTTTTTTTTATTTTTAGAGGATTTAAAGCATTGTTAGATTTTAGAAAGGATTCTATCCCATGATGTTTTCAAATTATTTTTAAATGATTCACATTTGTTAATTATTCTATTTTACTGATAGATTAAAAAAAAATCAAATTAAATTTCAAATTTAATTCGATAATAAGATTTGCACTTGAAACCATTTTTTTTTTACTTTTTATTTAGGTGTTTTTTTTGTTGTTTTTTTTTTTTAGGTAATGCAACAGGATTAAACAGAAAAAAACTGTTAATTAATTAGCTGGAATAGGAGGTCGTGCATCCTCCAATTTAACTGATCTAATGAAAAAATCTGCAAATCAATAGCAGACGCTGAAATATGATCACACATCTACATTAATATGCATGGTCAGGGCTGAACACCACACCTCCAGCGGCCGCCTTTCTGGGAGGAAAGCTCCAATAAAGTTGCAAAAAGTTTTAATTCAAAGCGCTTGGCTGATGTGAGAGTGTTTTTTTTTTTCTTTGTCTATTTTGTTTTTGTAAAAAAAATAATAAAAAGAACTTTTGAGCAAACTTTATTAGTTTTTTTTTTCCTGCTACAGTCTAAACAAAGCCGCAGAAAGTTTTCCAGGCGCACATCTCTGAGTTTGGAAACATTGAGGAGCTGAAAGCAAAGCTGACGCGGGATCCTTTCCTTGTTGATTTAAAATAAGCCTGTGTGTGCTGACCTGCATGAACATCCATCGTTTTGAAATATGAAACTTTTTTCTGCTTCATAAAGTGTCGCTGATTGGCTGTAAACTTCCCCCCAAAAATAATAATAAAGTGTGTGCGCAATTAAGAGAGAAACTTACTTTCTTCCTGGAGGATTTCTCTTCTTGACTTTTCTTAAAGGAAAAAATGTGTTTTCTTTCGTCTTTCTTCCTCTTCTTCCAAAGTTGCAGATGTTCCTCTGGACTTTTCTCCTTTTTTCTAAGGCTGGAAGTCCAACTCCAAAGCGGCGCAGTCAGAGTTTCTTCCTCTTGTCTGTCTTTCTCCTCCTTCTCACAGTTTTCTTCTTCCCAACACCATGAGCCAGCCGATTGTAATCTGCCGACAGCAGACCACAGATGCGCGTCAAAAACAACAGAGAGGAGCGTGTGGAGAGTTGTTATTACACTTGGAGCATTTTTCGAGAGGGAGAGAGGACGAAGTGTGGGACTCCCAGCTGCTCCTTCCTTCGCTTGACTCCTCCCTTCACTTTATTCCCTGCCTCCCTCCTTTTTTTTTTAAATTTGTGCACCCCTTTCTTTTTCTTTCTTTCTTTATGATAGTACATTTACGGAAGAGGATTAGGGCCACTGAAAAATTTAAAAAAGTTAACTGATTGTTTAATTTTATTTCAGTATAATATGAGAAAAAAATCAGAATTCTCACTTTAATCTCAGGATTCTGAATTTTCCTCAGAATTCTGACTTTAATCTCAGAATTCTTAGTTTAATCTCGGAATTCTGACTTTAATCTCGGAATTCTGACTTTAGTCTCAGAATTCTGACTTTTTTCCTCAGAATTCTGACTTTAATCTCAGAATTCTGACTTTTTTCTGACAATTCTAACTTTAATCTCAGAATTATTATTTTTTTCTCAGAATTCTGCCTTTAATCTCAGAATTCTGTCTTTAATCTCAGACTTCTGACTGTTTTCTGACAGCTAACAAACATGTTAGCATCAAGCTGTAGCCATATCTGTTTTAGAGACTAAACTGTTTTAATCACCTTCTGCTCTTCCATGAATAAGATAGCATTACTGGGACCCCTTGGGCACATAAAGAGTCACCTAATTCCATCATTTTCCACCAGTGTTACTGGCCCTCCCAAACAACTCACATCTTTGTAAGTGAAGGTGGGTGCTCCCACATCCCTTCCTTCATGGTGCCCATCTACATTAAGATCCAAAATTCTGAGATTAAACTCAGAATTCTGAGGAAAAAAAGTCAGATTTCTGACTTTTTTCCAATATTAAAATGAAATAATATTTAAAAATCAGTTAACTTTTTTTTTTTTTTTCCAGTGGCCCTAATCCTCTTCCGTATACATTGGATCCATTGTTGTTTCCAGACTTAGCTTTTAAGGAAAGTAGAAAATTGAATTTGTTTGGGCAATTCTAGTTCACTGAGTTCCATTCAGATTAGCTTTGTGTTTACATGTCATACTTTGTTTAGAGACAGATTTGCAGAGTTTTTTAGCACTTTGTTTGCAGATGTTACAGCATAGATACTGACCTTTTTTGGTCAAATATATTATAGATAACCAAAGCAGTAGTTTTTTTGTTCATATTTGGAACCTGTAAAAATGGATGGATGGATGGATGGATGGATGGGTGGGTGGGTGGATGGATGGGTGGGTGGGTGGATGGATGGATGGATGGATGGATGGATGGATGGATGGGTGGATGGATGGATGGATGGATGGATGGATGGATGGATTGTCCATGAAGTTCGCTTTCTGGGTAAAGAACTAATATCCTTCCTCCTGCTGGGCATATTTTTGCCTTTAATTTAAGAGTTTACATTTTCACAATAACACAGAAAAATCCTACTGTTTATACAGTAGCCTTAAAGGGATATAAAACGCAAACTCCTTAAAGAAAGAGAGATAAGATGTTTAAAACAGTAACATTGGGTTTTTCTGTCAGTGTTAGCTCCCACAAATACACATTCTGCTTCTAAAATCTAAACATTGTAAACAGTCATGACAGGCCAGAACAGGGGTTCCCAAACCTTTCTGTGCCGGGGCCCCTAAAACTACATTGGCTTCTGGCTGGGGGCCACTTTTGTAAATTAACAAATGGTAAAAAAATGAGGATAAAACAAGTTTTAGAAAGTTTTATTTACATTTATTCTTATGCCGTTGTTATTATCTTTGTTTTTAGCGTAATATATATATCTTTTTTTCCACATGCAGACGTGCTCCATGTTTAAAAAATGTCTTGTTTTAAGTACCTCTAAAATTAAAAACTCACACAAGTAGACTGTTGCAAAAAAGAAAATGTATTTCAGCTCTCTGTCACCCAAGCTGGGATAATCTTTACTTTCATAATTAAACAGAGGAACAGCTTCCAAGTTCACTTATTCCTCTCAGTTTTTAATGTTAAAATTTTACAAATAATAGTTTATAATAATATATAAATCTTTAAAAAAGCTCATCTTTTTCTTATTTTTATGCCAATTATCCAAACCCCCATCTACTGTAGCGCCCCCTGGTGAATCCCACTTAGAAACCACTGGGGTAGAAGAAAATAAAATATTTTGAACGAGATTCTTATACCTAACCTGTTTATTTTTCTGATTGATTTTAACTATTGGCTAAAAGTTTGATATAAAAGAGAAAATGGGTTGAAATGCTTACAAATTCTGATCAGTTTGTCTAAAGTTTGAATGAAAAGCAATGAATAACAATGAATGAAATCAAACAACCATCTCTAAATGTTGCAGCAGATTTGACTTATTGAATTATATATTGCGTAAATAGTCTAGAACTGTCCCCTGGGGTAAACCTTTTAAGGTGCCGATGTTAAACGCAGGAAAGCTGCTGCTCCTGTAGCGGTTAGGTGTGTAATCAATATACATGATCAATATACGGGGGAAATTATGTGATAAGAGAGGTCTGTAGGGCATTGGTTGGATCAATGAAGAGGTGGGAGTTTTGGGAAGGAAAATTAGTGCGATATTCGTTTGACTGGCATTTAACTGTGTGTGTGTGTTGGTGTGTGGCCATCAGGTTGAGTCCATGAGGACATGTTTAGCCTATTTATCTTTATTTTTGATGCATCACCAATCATCCACCTTGGTGAATGGAAGAAAATCTAGTTTTAAGACTAATTTCCGGATGATTGTTGAGTTCATTAAGTAAGTGCTGTCTAATTGAGGCCTTAATTAGTCAAAGGAAGAGATTTTCTGTCACATCTGTCAACATCATCAATAAAATGTGCTTGAGTTTGACTTCATCACTCTGTGAGGACTTTTTTTTTTATTCCTCTTGTCATAATAACAGGTTATGCAAGATGATTAGGTTTGATGAATGGGTAAATGGTCCTTCAGAAGAGCCTTTTCTTACTTATTCTTAGTACAAACTTCAAAGTATTTTAGTTGGTTTCTTCTGATACATCAGCCTAAAGTGGAAGGCAGATGATTTAATGTTTTTGAGTATTTTTAAACCTAAAATCTAAAAACCTTCACACATGGACTCTGTTGGAGTCAATATTCTGAGAATCTCCTCTTTCTTTTATATCCATCCATCCACTTATCCCTTCTGGGGTCGTGAGTGGTGTTAGTGTCTATCTCCAGCCATCTACGGGCAAAAGGCAGGGTACACCCTAGACAGGTTGCCGGTCCATCGCAGGGCAACACAGAGACAAACAGGAAAATCAACCATTCTAGAATACACTCACACCTAAGGAGAATTTAGAGAAGACAATTAACTTAACAGTCATGGTTTTGGACTGGGGGAGGAAGCTGGAGTACCTGGAGAGAACCCATGCATGCACAGGGGGACCATGCAAACTCCATGCAGAAAGAACCAGGCCCGGGAATCAAACTCAAAACATTCTTGCTGTAGGGCAGCAGTGCCACCCACTGTTCCACTGTGCAGCCCAAAAGGAAGAAAATGTTGCCCATAGCATGATATCTTCCACTCCCGTGTTTAAAGCTGTTTGTGTTTCTGTGTAATGTGCAGCTGTAACTGGTGTAATACTCATGCCACAGCAGTGAGTGGTTCTATATCACTGCCAGACGAAGGAATGGCAAAGTAACCCAACAAACCCTGCAGAGAGCAAAAAGATGTGATTAGGTGTGTCTCATCATTAAGGCATGATGCTGCCATGGTCACACTTCATTTTTGGGATGTGTGTTCTTTATCCCTGACCTGTCTGCTGCCACCTCGATCCGCTTGATGCTGCTCTTTTTACATTATTTCCTAACAAACTTCTGAAACCTTTACACAACAGCTGCCTTTCTGCTGTGATTTAACTTAGGTTCTATTTATTAATTAATTTAATTAGCTAGGCACCAGCACCCCTTGCGACCCGCTCGGGATAAGCGTGACGGAAAATGGGTGGATGGAAACCATTTGCTTTTGGTTCTACTTCAGAATTGTGCAATGCTACTGCCGGTGTTGGTCCATCACACAAAATCTTAGTGATATCTATTGATCTCTGTTTGACCAAAGAAGTTAAATATTAAATGAATTAAATAGTTTTGCAAGCAGCAGATGATGATGCTTATTGATAGGACTGGAGTATTTACTTGTTGGCTTCAGAGTGCCAAAATGAGGCTTACATTTACAAGTACAGAAATGCCTCAATGGGCCCCATTGTGTCTGTTCCCGCAGGAAGTGGAGCTGAGAGAGGAGACAGTCAGAGGTGTTCTGTAAGACACAACTAATACTCCTGTCAGTTTGTCAGACAGTGCTCATCTGGCCCGGACTGCACAGAGATAAAGTCCTTGTTATGAATCTCTCACAGAGAAGCAGTGGAACGTGGTGGGGGAGGTGGAGCTTCGAGAGAACAAGAGGGCAAAGGAGGGGGGGTGCATATGGGCATCAGTGGGGTTAGCGGCTCCCGAAAGCATTTCATCAAAGAGGGCCAGGATCCTGGGGATTGAGATTCTGCCTGGAGGCAAGTAACCATTGGTCTCCCAAGAACACACTCACAAAGTAGGACTCGCAGAGCCAAAGCACACATCAAAAGCACCTCTGCAGCCAAAGTGATTCTGGGGGAGAAAGAAAGGGGGTTCAGGTCCTGTCTTGGCCCTCCTTTAAGCCCCAGATCTCACCCCAATTAAGCAGGAACTCCTGTTTGTTCCAGACCCTGAGATCCTGCAGACAGGGAGGTGCTCCAGCTTTAAGGTAGACACTCATTCCTTTTGTCCCCTTTTTCCTGTCAACGCATTCTGGAACATGACAGAAATCCAGCATTTTTCGGCATCTGAACGTCGTGCTGGTTTCTGATATTACGGCCAGTTGACAGAGCGTGCCTTCAGTTTCAGATGACCTCGCTGAAATTATATGTGCCGCTCAGGCCCGTCCACGTACGTTACTCTAGTAACAGTAAATCAATACATGGCAGAATGTTGTGTAGGCATTTGGAATCTCGCCTTTAATTTTACTCCCCCCCACCCACCCCAGACCCCATTGGACAGATGTCACAAAGAAATGGATACAGCTGAACAG